CTCCCCCCCCCCAGCCACGAGAAAAAAGGTTGTCCGTCTCAAACGCATCCAAACAGACAGCTACTCTACCGCGCGCTACCTACATAAATCTAATTAAGCTTGATTGATCCCCGATCATCATCGCAGCGACCATGGAAACCGCAGGATCAGCAGAAGAAAACTGCGACGCATCTTCTGTACTTCCCCGCGGCTTCTTCTTAAATTCATGCTTCATCGTCGTCTTAGTTACCTTCTTCTCCAAACTCTTGCATTCCCTCGTCGGCAAGTTCGCGCGTCAGCCTCGCATCATCTCCGAGCTCGTTGTAAGTCGCGCGCATCATCTTTCTTTCTTTCTGATTTTTTTTTTTTTTTGAAAAAAAGAGCGTAACCACGATGTCTGCAATGCGCGAAGGTGGGAGTGATCATCGGCCACATTCCCTTCTTGAGGAAACTGGTTGGGCCTGTAATGGCAGACGGTTTCGAAGTGATCGAACACTTCTCGTCCTCGCTCTACATGTTCTCCGTCGGCCTCGAGATGGAGCCCCTCGCCATCCTTCAACCTCCGGGACCCGAGGCCAAGATCGCCTTCGCCGGCATCTGCTCGACCTCCTCCCTCTTCTTCCTCTCCTACTACACCCTCAACCACGTGGGCGTGTTCAGGGACCAAATGGAAAAGGTGGTCATCAGGGAGCGATCCCTGATAGCTTTCGTCCTCATGTTCACCGCAGCCTCTTCCCCTATCATCACCCGCATGATCACCGAGCTCAAGCTCGGCCAGACCGACATCGGACGCCTCGCCATCCGCTCCGGCCAGGCCAACGACTTGGTCTGCACCACCTTCATGGCCATCAACATGCTGTTCCGCGCCTCCAGGAAGATCAACATCCTGATCGTCGCGGCTTCAGTCGCAGCCGAGCTGATCTTCGGGCGCGCCTCCAGGAAGATCAACATCCTGATCGTCGCGGCTTCAGTCGCAGCCGAGCTGATCTTCGGGCGGTTCGTGCTCTGGTACCTCATCAAGTGGGCGAACAAGAGGAACCCTGTGGGGAAGAAGATAAGGGGACTGGACATGACTATAGTCGTTGTGATCACCCAAGTATTGTGCCACCTTTCCTGGTTATTCAACTACGACGCCAGGGTGAACTCGTTCTTGATCGGCTTAGTGCTGCCGAGACACGGCCACGTGCCGAACTACCTCGTCGGCAGGGTCAGTTACATCCTGACGAGCTATATCCTGCCACCCTACGTTGCCCTGTCCGCCACCAAGTCTTACGCCGTCCCCAAACAAGGGGAATCGCTGGGCTCCGACATTGCCAGGATGACCATCCTCAACCTAGTTTCGCTGGTCGGCAAGCTCATCGGAACGCTGATCGCTTGCATTTGTAACGGCCTGCATTGGCTGGAAGCGATCACCCTTTCTGTGACTCTCAACATGAAGGGACATTTTCATATCATCTTCTCCGTACTTGCTCTGGATGTAAGACTCTGGTATCAAGGCTTCTTTATTATTATTATTATTATTATTGTTACGTAGGATAACTTACACTAAACCCTCCATGAGTTGGGAATTTTAGAAAGCACCCAAAAATATATTGACTATTGCACTTTATCCCCCCATACGGGCGTTGCCCATAGTTTTACCAGGATGAAAATGCCCTCAAGGCTAGTAGTAACGGTAAGAGAAGAAAAGATTTGTTGCAGATATAACACTCAAATTAACTATCCCTATTTGTAGATTAACCCCCCAAATTTGAAAACCATTAATATATTTCCCTAAAAGAAAACTCTGAAATTACATGTTCTCAAAAAAAAAAAAAAAAAATTAAAAACTTTCAAAGGGGACCTCCATGATCNNGAAAATTACTAAAAAAAAAAAAAAAAAATCCTGTCATACATTCAAAACTCGAAAACAACCCATTGAAATCCAGAAATTGCAATTCCTGTAATATATAAAAACTACAAACAATCTTCTAGAAAATGTACAACTACAGAAAGCCCCATAGAAATCTAAAAATTGCAATTGACCCCTCAAGGCTCAAATTACAAGCAACCCCGTAAAAATTTTGAAAATAACAAGGGACCTCCTGACAAATCTAAAAGTTACACAAGACCGCTTGTAAAATTCAAATAGTACAAACAAGTCTAACAAATATTTAAAAATTACAACAAAACCCCTTAAAAATACAACATTTATAAACAACCCCATAAAATATCCAAAAATTACAAATGATTCCTAAGAATTCCGAAATTAGAAACACTCTCCTAAAAAATAAAAATAGAAATATCCCCCTAAAAGTAAAGAAAAATTATAGACAATCCTTTATTTATTTATTTATTTTGTTGAATCACACAAAGTCGGATGTTTCTTGTTGTGCACAGCGTGGCCTTATGAAGGAGGGTTCATTTATAGTGGTCGTGGTGACGGTTCTAGCCTCCATCGTCTATGTTCCCTTCACCATCTCCTTCATAATAAAAAAGGTTCGAAAAGTAAAAGGAGGAAAGGCAAGACTAATGGGTCTCCAATGGTACAACTCAGCAAGCGAGCTTCGAATCACCGTCGGGCTTATAAAACCCCAGAACGTAGTCTCATCCATGACCCTGATCGAGCTTATCCGCTCCGGTTCAGACTCACGAACCCTAGTCTACACGGTAGACATGATCGAGCTCACCGAACCGAGGAGAGCAGCCCTAGTTTACAAGCAAGGAACTGATTCGGTTACGGTCGCCGACGACGAGGTCATTGAGCTCAGAGAAGAGATCGGGCTGGAGTTGAAATCTCAAACGGACGGCTGCGAAGGTATCGCGGTCAGCCGCAGCCTGGCTATCTCCTCCTTCTCCGACATGCACGACAACATCTGCTGCTGCGCGCAGGACACTCTCGCCGTGCTCATCCTGCTCCCCTTCCACAGGGGACTCAAGCCCGACGGGTCGCTGGACGAAGGACACCCCGGGTTCAGGACCGTCAGTCAAGAGAACGTCCTCCGCCAGCGCCCCTCTCGACGGGGATCCCTAGTCGATCGCGGGCTCGGCGCGGCGCGAAGACACCACTCGACGTCCGAGGCGCAGGTAACGAAATTCGGGGATGTGTTACATCGGAGGAGCGGATGACGGGAGGCCTAGCGTGGCGCGGAAATAATGTCGCACATCCGGCGGGTTCGATGCTGGTGGTACGCGTCTGATACAGAATAAGGAGGCGTGGCGCGACGGGGGCAGGAATGCTGCCGGCCCCCGACGCGCAGAGGGAGATTGAGTGGGCGATGGGGGTGGAGACGAGTATTCGGGCCGAGGTTCTACGGAGGAATTCGTGAACGAATGGAGGGTGGAAGATACCGAGAGAAGATGGTGATGAACGGGGGAGGCGGTGAGGGCGTGAAGGAGAGTGGCGAGGATGGAGTGTCGGCGTGATGAGCTGCTCATCGTAGGGCAGGGGACCGGGAGAGAATCTGTTGACGGCGGGATGGTTCAAGTGGTGTGAGTACCCGGAGTTGGGACCCATCGGCGACATTCTCGCGTCTGTTCCCCTCCACCGCTTCCGTCTTGGTTGTGCAGCAGCGGAATCAGGCCACGCGTTCTGACTTTATTATTAGTGACGAATTTATGCCCATGTAGCGTCTCGTTCGTTTCGTGCTCTCACGTATTCTTATTACCAGAAAAAAATTTTTTTTTTTTGCTTGTTCAAGGCGCTTCAAATTGGAATTAGACCAAAGCAAATTAGATGGTGCGTCAAATTAGAATTAGACCAAAACATAATCACATCCGAACAACTCTAATAATTATATTAATGTAGCAAAACAACCGAACAACTGAAAAAAAGTCAAAGTTTCTCAATTACAATGAATTTGCCCCAGATCAATAAAAAATCATAAGCTTCAAGATTTCTGAGAGTTTTCAATTTGGTTTTACCAATTTACGTTGTAATTGTGAAAATGGAGGAAGTCGCCGCTTATCACCATCACTCGCCGGTAAAAACAAGGAAACGACGTTGAAGCAGGAGGCCGATGAACAAATCGACTCAAATCCTTCTAATTTTGGGGCTAGACAGAGTAGTGGCTTAGCCCCATAGATGGTTGGAGGGCCTTGCGCCCCCACCCCTGGCCCCACCTCTCTCCATGAAAAACCACCACCACCACCACCACCACCACGAAAGCTTTTTTCCCTTCTTATATTTGTGTGATTCATATTACTTTCTTATAAAGAAGCTACATCTTTTAGAAGATATTTGGGGAGGCTTATTTTTTGGTCAAACTAGCTTTTTAAGTATCATTTTGAAAAGCTGGTATAGCCCAGCTTTTAAAAAACTAGCTTATAAACCCACTTAAAAAAAGCTAGGTTTGACCAAGCAAATTACTATTCTACTCAAATAATTTTTATAGTATTTTTATCAAAAAAGCGAAAAGTCATTGAAAGCCAGTATAACTAATAAGCTTCAAAAATAAGCCTTCCCAAACACTCTCTTAATAGTTTAAAATTAATCCCTCAATCATTGAGATCATTACTAGTCCACATCCAATCCTTATATAAGTTATTTTAAAATTAATTTATCAAATCATTAAAACTGCTACTGAATCTCCCAATTCTCCTTGGCTTTTCTAAAATAATCATGAGAATTAGGGGATATAATGGTAATTTCAATTATTTGATGGACATAATTTTGAAAGAGCTTAAGACTTGGGAACTAATAGCAACTTCAATGATATAAGGGACCATTTTCAAAACATTAAAGATTTAGGGGGCTATATGAAGATAACCATTTTGGAGATAATAAATAACAAACAATGTTGTTTATCATTTTTTGCTAAAAACACAGAATATGCATCAGAATATATAAATTAAAAGCGATAAACAATACAAAGCAAAATACTTAAACACCAAAAATAAACAACCAGGAACACACGAGATGTTAGAGTGGTTTGGATAACAATCCGATGTCCACTCTTTCTTCTCAAAAAGGAACTTCCTCAGAAAGCAAAGAGTTCTGAATCACAACCCCAATTTAGCAGTCTTACAAGACCGAACCCAAATCTACCTACAATCAGCCATTTAACCTACCTCTCTATAATTAATAACACCTAGCCTAAACTAGTCCTAACCCTCATTCAACAGACTTAAGTACGCTATCAAAGAAGTTCCAAATAAAACCAACACAAATAATTTAAAGCTCAAAAAATAAAGAACGATCTCATAGTGCTTTTGTTAAACAAACCGCCCTTCAACGAATATAAACACAACTTGATGAAGAACAATGGAAAAAAAATAAAACTATGGGCAACCCTCCTCGCTGAAATGATCCAAAGATGTTGTGGGCGATAAGTGAGAATTTGTCAAGGCTCTAGAGGTCAAATTCTTCAACTTGATCTCTTACAAATCAAAACCTAGAAGTCTTCTCTCCCTCCCTCCCTCCCTCTCTCTCTCTCTCTCTAATATAAAGTCCCCAGTAGGCCAAGAAAGAGATATTCCAAATGTGGTAGAAGTTCAAGAATATATAAATAACGAATGACTGAGATTAAATCTAAGAAATCTTAATCATCGTGTTTACCATCGATGGAGGCTTTCGATCATCAATGATGTTGAGGCGCCATCGGTGTCTGAGAGGTTCATTGATGATATAAAGTTCTTTGGAGTCATCGATGATGATTGTTGACCATCGATGAGCTCTTCCTATAATTAATGGTCAATATCTACCATCTATGGCGAGAATGCTGAATTAAACAGAGATGAGATACAACACTATCTTGATTGTAGATATATCTCAGCATCAGAAGCACTATGGAGGATATTTGAATTTAATATTCATTATAGAACTCCAGCAGTAGAGAGGTTTCATTTGCAGATTAGGAATCAATTATTTTTAAAGATAGTGATAATCTAAATGGCATTTTGAATGACATTGAATCAAAGCAAACAAAGTTCAATGGCTGGATGGAAGTAAACGAACTTTATCATGAGGCAAGAACTCTTACACATGCTGAATTGCCAACTAAATTTGTATTAAAGACAAATGAGAGAAGATTGAAACCACGAGAGAAGGGGTGAAGTGTTGGTCGGTTGGTTTATGCCAATCCTTCTTTTGGTGAAAGATTTTATCTCCATTTACTACTAAATGTAGTGAGAGGTCCTACAAGCGATGCTGAAATAAAAATCAAAGATGGAACTCAGTATGAAACCTTTAAAGCGACATGCGCTGCTCTAAAATTGTTAGATGATGATAATGAATGGCAATTCGTCATAGAGCAAGCATCTTATATTTCCTCAAGGAGACAAATGAGACATTTATTTGCATAAATCTTATTATTTTGCGAATTTATCAATCCTAAAAAAACTATGGAAAGATAATTGGGTGCATCTATCATGGGTATTCTTAAGCTCAAATTAATCTACTACACTACCCAAATTTGAAAGTGACAGAAAAGTAATTGCAAATCCATACATTGGTAGAAATACAATATCTCCTACTACAAAATGGTCAATGTCTTCAAAAGTTTCAAGGTATACTACTTCCTGATCCAGTACTAGTGCAACAATGTAGGAAGAAGATTATAAGTGAAGAATTTAACTATGACAGAGAGGAACTAAGAAGGGAGATGTTTGGTGGGGAAATAAAGAAGAAAAATGGAGAATTGAATTTGTAGTATTCTCTCTAATAGACTTAGGAAAAGAATCAATTACAATTCTTTCAATGTAATCTCTCTTTAACAAACTTAGAAAAAAATTTGCAATCTTCTTGTATCGGATTCCCGATTTACAAAAGAGATAAAGGATTGATGGAAACCCTTTCTTTTGTTTAAAACTGGGTTCTTCTTGGTGTCGATGGAATGCCTCCGTCGAATGCTTGCGTCGAGTTTGTCTTCCGTTGATGATCTGAATGCTTCACCTCGTGGAACGTTGTCTTCACGTCTTGACTAGAAGTCTTGGACGAACTTACGTTACAAGTTTGAAAGGAACTCTTAACGAGTTTTAGAACTCAAAATGAGTTTAAACTCTATGGAAGAGTTGATTGATTTAACTAAAAATCGGTTTGTAAGCCAAGGTTGATGGAAGCTTCGAAGCTCCAAGCTCTCTGTTGTCGATCTCCAAAAGATTGATCAAAGATCCTCCAAAATCTGATGATGAACTCAGTTGAGTTTGCTCATATTTATAGGAGGATTAAGGGGTGTAACTACCCCCTTAATCCACTCCTAAGTGGGGCAGAAATCCTTCAAATCGTGGGAAGAAAACAATTTTTGGAACCGTTCAACTCGTGTTTGAATGAGTCAAATCGTGGGAAGAAAAAGATTTCTGGGACGCAGAGTTGAGATCTGCGTCAGGGCAGAAAATACAATGGTTGTGCTATGTTTTTGAACTGGGAACGAAAGGCTGAACCTTGCGTTTAGTTATTGTAATGTAGAGGTGAGTTCTGCATTTTGGATTAAAGACATTGTTGACTTGTAATTTCTTTTGTAGAGCGTTAAAAAAATCATCATTTTGTAATCTTCGTTTTAGCTCTTTGAAATATGGGAGTCATCATATTGTAACTCCTGCAGTTGTTTGTGAAGATTGTTGAATCAGAACTTTTATCGGTTGTCATGAAGGTCATCGAATTGTAACCTTTCTCGATTTACGTGAAAATCTTCCAACTGTAGCCTTCATTTGTTGCTGTGAAAGTCATTTGATTGTAACTTTCATTGTTGAATTGTTAACGTGAAAATCGTCAGATTGTAACTTCCATTGTCGGTGTTTGATGGGGATTAATTATTTATTGTGATTTTTTTAGATAGCCTACAGAACCCCCTCCAAAGTTTTTTAAAAGTTCACGATTGACTGGAATGAATTTTCAGAATACTTTGGATTCTAAAATTTGTTTAATGATTGTTCACTACATCTATTTCGAAGGCATCATGGACTTGGTTGTAGAAATTTGCTGCACCGAGCGTGTATGCGGGTGACCTGTAATGTAATAGGATTTTTAGCAAATCCTCAGTCATCAACGGATTTGTTGTGCCTTTACTGACTACTGTTTGAGTCGGGTTAGCATGTGGATTGTCTAAATCCGTTCCACATGTAACGTTGTGCTAAAAGAATAAACTCTC